AAACCCTAAACCTAAACCCTAAACCCTAAACCCTAAACCCTAAACCCTAAACCCTAAACCCTAAACCCTAAACCCTAAACCCTAAACCCTAAACCCTAAACCCTAAACCCTAAACCCTAAACCCTAAACCCTAAACCCTAAACCCTAAAACCCTAAACCCTAAACCCTAAACCCTAAACCCTAAACCCTAAAACCCTAAACCCCTAAACCCTAAAACCCTAAACCCCTAAACCTAACCCTAAACCCTAAACCCTAAACCCTAAACCCTAAACCCTAAACCCTAAACCCTAAACCCTAAACCCTAAACCCTAAAACCCTAAACCCTAAACCCTAAACCCTAAACCCTAAACCCTAAACCCTAAACCCTAAACCCTAAACCCTAAACCCTAAACCCTAAACCCTAAACCCTAAACCCTAAACCCTAAACCCTAAACCCTAAACCCTAAACCCTAAACCCTAAACCTAAACCCTAAACCCTAAACCCTAAACCCTAAAACCCTAAACCCTAAACCCTAAACCCTAAACCCTAAACCCTAAACCCTAAACCCTAAACCCTAAACCCTAAACCCTAAACCCTAAACCCTAAACCCTAAACCCTAAACCCTAAACCTAAACCCTAAACCCTAAACCCTAAACCCTAAACCCTAAACCCTAAACCCTAAACCCTAAACCCTAAACCCTAAACCCCTAAACCCTAAACCCTAAACCCTAAACCCTAAACCCTAAACCCTAAACCCTAAACCCTAAAGCCCGGAGCTGCTAGCCAGGTCACGGGCTCGGGTGGAGCGGGAGCAGGAGGAGCAGCGGGTTCTCCCTCTCGTTCTCGACTTTCACCCTAGTGTGCAGCAGGTTCGCTGGGGCGCGCTGCTGGAGTTTCCCACAGGTGCACCGGCTTTCGAGCAGCTGTCTCACTACAGGGCACCCTTCGTGTCCTACAGGGCACCGCCGTCACTGCGTCGCGTTCTGGTTCGAGCGGCGTTCAGGTGACTGTGTCGCGTGTCGCCTTCAGCCGTCACCCTAGAGTTCAGCACCGGTCTTTCGTTGGTAGTGGCTCCAGGGTTGGTCCTCTGCCGTCTCCCCGCCCTTCCTCCTTGATTCGCTACACAGGTTGGGCCCTGGAGGCAGCACTCTCTTTCACTGGCTGCAGTGTGTTCCTTTGAGTTGGGCCTTTGCAGCAGCACCGTCCCCCGTCCGGTCTCTTTGTTTGCGCTACACAGACCGGGCCTTGGGACGCACACCAGCCCCCCGCCTGGCCTCCTTGATTCCTTTTACACAGGCCAGGCCCTGGGGCGGTGCGAGCGCCCCCGGCTGCTCTTTCCTTATTCTTGGGGGTTTAGCACTGGGATATGCACTTGCACACTTGTACCACTCCCCATCCCAGACCTTTATGAGTACTTGGGATGCCTACCTCTTCTTTGCACGGGGTCTTGGGGTTTGGATCCATGCGCATCTTGTATATTCCCCGCTCCTGGCCATATGAGCACAGGAGCGCCTTCCTCCTCTTGCATATCATTGGGGGGGGTTTGCATTTAGGGGCCTTGATGCACGTGGCACTTGTACTCGACACGCCCCCGACCTTTATGAGTTCGAGGGGGCACTGCACATAGTGGGCAGTCAGACCTCGAGCGGGTTCTTGGGGCCCTGAGGTCGGGTACTAGTCGGGCTCTGTTCCGTGATGACTTCATCACGTAGGGCTGTTGAAGAGCTCTCCGACGAGCCTTCACACGTCCCGAACGGAGCACCGAGCGCATAGTTATGCGCATTTTTCTGTTTCTGCTACTCGGATTCGTGCGAATCCGTGAAGCGACATAGTAGCTACCGGGGCTATTCTAGAAAGCTCCGGTTTTCGCCGCCCGGCCATGGCTGATGGGTTCCATATCATATATGGGACCATAAGCCCCGTAGGGGCTGGAGGCCATCCGCGCCGTCGGATTTGCCATCCGGTGCCCGGATTGGGAGATATGGGCGCCTAGGATGATGGTCCCTGACAGGGTGCCACTTGGCACCTTGCAGGGCTAGTTTTGAGCCTAGGTGGCGCTTGCCCCACAAGGCATTCTGTGACATTGGGTAGGGATTGCTCGAGTAGGGAACTCTTGCTAGGGTAGGAAATGTCTTGCTGATGATGCCTTCACGGGCGAAATCGATACGAGACGGCTTCTACCTTCACTTGAGGTACTTACTCTCTTGCATTTCCCTACACACTAGGCTCCAGACTTGTGTTTTTTTTTTTCTTGCTTTCCTAGCTTCTCACTTTGCCTAGGACTTGCACAGTTTGTGGCCGTTTGAGAGCCTCGTGTTGCTCTCTAACGGCGGTAGTGTTGCGTAGGTTAGCGCCGACGAGTAGAGTAGCTCAGAGGCTCGTGCATTGGCCTTCTCCCAGGCTAGGTCGTAGTCTCTCGCTCTACGTTCGGCAGGGTTCGCCTCGCTTTAGTCACCCTTTTCGCTAGCGACTCTGGAGTCCGGAGCAGCACTGCAGCTCAGTTCTTTGAGCCCTTCTTTTCAAACCCTAAACCTTTCGCACTGACGCCGGTGCTGGAGGCTGGCGGAGTCGAGGTAGACCCTTAGGTTTTTCGGTCAGTACATCCTAGTTCTACTATGAGTGGGCTCGGTGCGAGCGCAGCGGCGGGGGCAGTCGGAGGAGCAGCCGCCGGTGCAGCCGCGGGGTTGGGGGTAGATATGGACGTCTCGCCGGCTCCAGCTACAGTCGCCGACATCAGAGACGGTTTTCGGCGGCAGCGTAGACGGACCGACACGGACGAGGACAGGCAGGAGCAGTTTGCACTAGAGCAGGAGACGGAGTGGAGGCGGACCTTGCAGCGCGAGCTGCAGCTCTCGAGTCTGGAGGGGGGTGTCCTCGAGAGCAGGACCGTCATCGAGGGTTGGGTTAGCAGGGTTAGGGCTACGGCTGAGGAGGCGCGTGTGGCTCACGAGCAGGCTGTTGCAGAGGCAGCGGCGCTACAGGCAGCACGTGAGCAGTTTAGACAGGAGACAGAGCAGCAGCAGCAGCAGCAGCAGCAGCAGCAGCAGCAGCAGCAGCAGCAGCAGCAGCAGCAGACGCAGCAGCAGCCACAGCAGCAGTCGCAGCAGCCGTTTGGTGCCACTGCTACAGGGACAGGGGTTGCTGCAGGGGCAGGGGTTGCTGGAGAGGGGGGAGAGCCGTACGCTATCACCTCACTTCTGTTCCAGCAGGTCTTTGCTGGCGTCTTGCCGGGAGCTGCTACAGGGGGGGCAGCAGCAGGGGGTACCACTGAGGCAGCAGCTCCTGCTGACGCCACGCTACTCTCACAGGCGGCAGAGGTTTCAGCTGCTATCCAGTCAGGTACGGTGCCGACGTACATCTCCACCCTCATAGAGACTGAGGCAGAGGTTCTGGCCACTGCACTGCGCGTAGTCTTCAAGACCGAGCGGGGTCTGGTTAAGACTCGCAGGCAGTTCTTCGAGGGGAGGGTAGCAGCCAGCTTCAAGAAGAGCTTCGTTCCGCAGCTGCATCTTCACACTCCAGAGGTGCAGGCACAGGCTAACACGAGGCTTAGGGAGCTGGAGCAGCAGGTGCTGGGTCAGATGCAGCTGATTTTGATCCAGGGGCAGATGGATGACTTGACTCACCTCCAGAGGCAGGTATCCACCTGGCGCGGCAGGCTTGTGGAGGCGGTAGACGACCTTGTAGCCACAGCTTGCAGCGTGGGCTTTCTTGCGCAGCAGTTTGCAGCAGAGTCTTCTCGCCCTGCTGTTTGGCAGAGCATCCAGACTCTACGGGGACGGTGTCACGCCGCTGTCGCTGACGCGCTTCTGCGGGTGGGGCTGGAGCACCAGCGGTACGTCCACCAGGAGACCACCAGGATCGACAGGCAGCAGGCGCAGCGGACGGCCCAGCAGGAGCGGCGAGCACAGGCAGAGGGTGCGCCGGTAGACGAGGTCATGGGGGAATTTGTCCCTCGTGAGGTCGAGAGACAGGTCGGCGCTTGGCAGGACGAGCAGAGGGAGGCCTGGCGTCGGTTTTCTGAGCGTCTAGACCGTCTTGAGGGTCGTCGACAGGGGCAGCAGACGCAGCAGCAGCGGGGTAGGACCCGTGCTAGGGAGCCGACGGGAGATGGCCGCCTCGAGTCCATCTCCCCTGTTCGCAGCCGTCCACAGCCAGCCACAGCGGCGGCACAGACTGCAGGTGCCCAGGCGGCAGCCACCGCAGCTGCTACAGCGGCCCAGCAGCGCCCGGGACAGCGACAGACGCAGACCCAGGGGCAGCAGCAGGGTACAGGACAGGGGCAGCAGCAGGGTGCGGCACAGGGGCAGCAGCAGCGGCAGCAGCAGCAGCAGCAGCCGCAGCAGCAGGGTCAGCGACAGCAGCAGGCTCGCCAGCAGCAGCCACCCGTCCAGCCTTCTGGACGCCAGACTGGCCAGACTCCAGCCTCAGCTCAGGGAGGTTGGGGGCAGCGTCCCAGTGGCCCGGGTGACCGGCGCGGGCCCTGGAGTGGACAGGGGTGGCGTGGGGACCAGGGTGGACGTTGGGGGGGAGGAGGGCGTGACGGGGGGAGACAGGAGGGGGGTTGGCAGGGTTTTGGCCCGTGGGGGCAGCAGCCGTTCCAGCAGGGCTACTTCCACCCACAGCAGCAGCCCCTCGTACACCCCGCACAGGGAGGCCCTTTTTTCTGGCCTCAGCCCCCTTTTCCTGGGGGGCACCACCTGCCCTTCTTGGGCCACCTAGCGCAGCAGCAGTTCCTTCAGCAGCCGTTTTACGGGACTCCGGCGTGGCAGCAGCCACAGCACCGCCCGGGCCCAGTGTTTCCACAGGACCATCTGCCGCAGCAGCCCCAGGGGCAGCAGCAGACGGGGCAGCAGCAGCAGCAGCAGACGGGCCAGTAGAGGCAGACACAGGGGACGGGGTTGGTAGCCGAGGGAGGCACAGACCACGTAGGAGGCTAGAGGAGTCGGACAGGGAGCGTCTGCTTCGACGGTTTGCCAGGCGCAGTGTGCAAGAGGTCGCGGACAAGCTAACTAACGTGGCTGTCCACAACCTCTCGCGCAGGCGTCTGACAGAGGATGAGCTTACAGGCCTTGCTCTTGGCCTTAAGTTCATCCCTACGCCCCCTCCTCTTGACCGAGGGCGGCTGAGTCAGGCTGTGGAGCAGTATCAGCGGCGGGTTAGGCTAGCGTGGCAGTTTCGGGACAGCCGCAGACCGGTGCCTAGGTTTCGGGTCCCACGACCTAGTTGGCAGCCGGACCCGGGGCCACCAGAGGTCGAGGAGTATCTTGCTGAGGTAGCTGACAGGGTGGAGGGGCTGGCGGGTCTTATAGGAGGGCCCGCTCGGCCCAACATCAGCAGCCGCGTTAGGGGTGCACTCCTGGGGTTGAGTCGTGACCGGTCTGTTGTCATCAAACCGGCGGACAAAAACCTTGGGATCGTGGTACTGGATAGGGACTGGTACGAGGGGGAGGCGCTGAGGCAGTTGGGGGACAGGGCAGTCTACGAGCCGGTTGCTGCGGTGCCGCTACGTTCCCTTTGGCAGCAGCTGTGTAGGTGGGCAGAGCAGGCGCGTTACGCAGGGGTTCCGCCACAGGTGCTGGACTACATCTTGCAGCCGCGTACTCCGCCGACGGGGGTGTCTGCCGGGGTCTGGGAGCAGTTTCGGGTGTGCAGATTTTACCTACTACCGAAACTGCACAAGACCCCGGTGGCTGGCAGACCCATCTGCTCGTCTACGCTTTGGGTCTTTGAGCACGCGTCGGCGGTTCTTGATCACCACCTCCGCCCCCTCCTACAGTTCTCACCCGCACACCTTCCTGACTCGCTCGCACTTCTTCACCAGCTTCAGGACCTCTCTGTGCCTGCTGACGCTCTCTTCCTCACTTACGACGTAGAGAGCCTCTACCCGTCGATTCCTATCGACGCAGGTATCAGCTGCATAGAGAGGTGGTTGTTTCGGCTGGTAGGGTTGGGTAGGGTGGCGGTGCGGGTAGCAGACGCGTTGGTGCAGCTGTTGGGGTTAGTCATGAGACAGAACCACCTCGAGTTTGGTGGTCGCTTCTGGCGACAGGTTCGGGGTACTGCCATGGGCACGCCTGTGGCGGTGATCTACGCGGTTCTGTTCATGGCTTGGTTAGACGAGAGGCTGTTAGAGACCGAGCCAGAGTTGTCGCAGTTCGTCCTTCTCCACCGCAGGTTTATAGACGACGGGGTGGTTATTTGGACGGGTACACGTGAGCGGCTCCTGGACTGGGTGCGGGCTTTCGGTGGGTTGGAGCAGACTATTCGGTTGACCCACGAGATCTCGACCTCACACTTTACCTTGCTGGACATTACGTTCAGCAAGGGGGAGCTTTGGCAGAGGACGGCTGTTCTGGACACTAGTACTTTCCAGAAGCCGCTTAACGTGTACCAGTACTTTCCTTTCTCCTCCGCGCACCCCTCTCACTGCAAGAGGGGCTTTATTTTGGGAGAGTTGCAGCGGTACATCCTGCGGGAGTCCAGCTTTAGGGGTTACTTGGGCATCAGGGCAGCCTTTTACTCTCGGCTTCGGGCCAGAGGCTACCCTGATGCCTTCTTGCAGCCGATATTCAGCAGCATCTCCTACGCACGACGCCCGGAGCTGCTAGCCAGGTCACGGGCTCGGGTGGAGCGGGAGCAGGAGGAGCAGCGGGTTCTCCCTCTCGTTCTCGACTTTCACCCTAGTGTGCAGCAGGTTCGCTGGGGCGCGCTGCTGGAGTTTCCCACAGGTGCACCGGCTTTCGAGCAGCTGTCTCACTACAGGGCACCCTTCGTGTCCTACAGGGCACCGCCGTCACTGCGTCGCGTTCTGGTTCGAGCGGCGTTCAGGTGACTGTGTCGCGTGTCGCCTTCAGCCGTCACCCTAGAGTTCAGCACCGGTCTTTCGTTGGTAGTGGCTCCAGGGTTGGTCCTCTGCCGTCTCCCCGCCCTTCCTCCTTGATTCGCTACACAGGTTGGGCCCTGGAGGCAGCACTCTCTTTCACTGGCTGCAGTGTGTTCCTTTGAGTTGGGCCTTTGCAGCAGCACCGTCCCCCGTCCGGTCTCTTTGTTTGCGCTACACAGACCGGGCCTTGGGACGCACACCAGCCCCCCGCCTGGCCTCCTTGATTCCTTTTACACAGGCCAGGCCCTGGGGCGGTGCGAGCGCCCCCGGCTGCTCTTTCCTTATTCTTGGGGGTTTAGCACTGGGATATGCACTTGCACACTTGTACCACTCCCCATCCCAGACCTTTATGAGTACTTGGGATGCCTACCTCTTCTTTGCACGGGGTCTTGGGGTTTGGATCCATGCGCATCTTGTATATTCCCCGCTCCTGGCCATATGAGCACAGGAGCGCCTTCCTCCTCTTGCATATCATTGGGGGGGGTTTGCATTTAGGGGCCTTGATGCACGTGGCACTTGTACTCGACACGCCCCCGACCTTTATGAGTTCGAGGGGGCACTGCACATAGTGGGCAGTCAGACCTCGAGCGGGTTCTTGGGGCCCTGAGGTCGGGTACTAGTCGGGCTCTGTTCCGTGATGACTTCATCACGTAGGGCTGTTGAAGAGCTCTCCGACGAGCCTTCACACGTCCCGAACGGAGCACCGAGCGCATAGTTATGCGCATTTTTCTGTTTCTGCTACTCGGATTCGTGCGAATCCGTGAAGCGACATAGTAGCTACCGGGGCTATTCTAGAAAGCTCCGGTTTTCGCCGCCCGGCCATGGCTGATGGGTTCCATATCATATATGGGACCATAAGCCCCGTAGGGGCTGGAGGCCATCCGCGCCGTCGGATTTGCCATCCGGTGCCCGGATTGGGAGATATGGGCGCCTAGGATGATGGTCCCTGACAGGGTGCCACTTGGCACCTTGCAGGGCTAGTTTTGAGCCTAGGTGGCGCTTGCCCCACAAGGCATTCTGTGACATTGGGTAGGGATTGCTCGAGTAGGGAACTCTTGCTAGGGTAGGAAATGTCTTGCTGATGATGCCTTCACGGGCGAAATCGATACGAGACGGCTTCTACCTTCACTTGAGGTACTTACTCTCTTGCATTTCCCTACACACTAGGCTCCAGACTTGTGTTTTTTTTTTTTTTTTCTTGCTTTCCTAGCTTCTCACTTTGCCTAGGACTTGCACAGTTTGTGGCCGTTTGAGAGCCTCGTGTTGCTCTCTAACGGCGGTAGTGTTGCGTAGGTTAGCGCCGACGAGTAGAGTAGCTCAGAGGCTCGTGCATTGGCCTTCTCCCAGGCTAGGTCGTAGTCTCTCGCTCTACGTTCGGCAGGGTTCGCCTCGCTTTAGTCACCCTTTTCGCTAGCGACTCTGGAGTCCGGAGCAGCACTGCAGCTCAGTTCTTTGAGCCCTTCTTTTCAAACCCTAAACCTTTCGCACTGACGCCGGTGCTGGAGGCTGGCGGAGTCGAGGTAGACCCTTAGGTTTTTCGGTCAGTACATCCTAGTTCTACTATGAGTGGGCTCGGTGCGAGCGCAGCGGCGGGGGCAGTCGGAGGAGCAGCCGCCGGTGCAGCCGCGGGGTTGGGGGTAGATATGGACGTCTCGCCGGCTCCAGCTACAGTCGCCGACATCAGAGACGGTTTTCGGCGGCAGCGTAGACGGACCGACACGGACGAGGACAGGCAGGAGCAGTTTGCACTAGAGCAGGAGACGGAGTGGAGGCGGACCTTGCAGCGCGAGCTGCAGCTCTCGAGTCTGGAGGGGGGTGTCCTCGAGAGCAGGACCGTCATCGAGGGTTGGGTTAGCAGGGTTAGGGCTACGGCTGAGGAGGCGCGTGTGGCTCACGAGCAGGCTGTTGCAGAGGCAGCGGCGCTACAGGCAGCACGTGAGCAGTTTAGACAGGAGACAGAGCAGCAGCAGCAGCAGCAGCAGCAGCAGCAGCAGCAGCAGCAGCAGCAGCAGCAGCAGACGCAGCAGCAGCCACAGCAGCAGTCGCAGCAGCCGTTTGGTGCCACTGCTACAGGGACAGGGGTTGCTGCAGGGGCAGGGGTTGCTGGAGAGGGGGGAGAGCCGTACGCTATCACCTCACTTCTGTTCCAGCAGGTCTTTGCTGGCGTCTTGCCGGGAGCTGCTACAGGGGGGGCAGCAGCAGGGGGTACCACTGAGGCAGCAGCTCCTGCTGACGCCACGCTACTCTCACAGGCGGCAGAGGTTTCAGCTGCTATCCAGTCAGGTACGGTGCCGACGTACATCTCCACCCTCATAGAGACTGAGGCAGAGGTTCTGGCCACTGCACTGCGCGTAGTCTTCAAGACCGAGCGGGGTCTGGTTAAGACTCGCAGGCAGTTCTTCGAGGGGAGGGTAGCAGCCAGCTTCAAGAAGAGCTTCGTTCCGCAGCTGCATCTTCACACTCCAGAGGTGCAGGCACAGGCTAACACGAGGCTTAGGGAGCTGGAGCAGCAGGTGCTGGGTCAGATGCAGCTGATTTTGATCCAGGGGCAGATGGATGACTTGACTCACCTCCAGAGGCAGGTATCCACCTGGCGCGGCAGGCTTGTGGAGGCGGTAGACGACCTTGTAGCCACAGCTTGCAGCGTGGGCTTTCTTGCGCAGCAGTTTGCAGCAGAGTCTTCTCGCCCTGCTGTTTGGCAGAGCATCCAGACTCTACGGGGACGGTGTCACGCCGCTGTCGCTGACGCGCTTCTGCGGGTGGGGCTGGAGCACCAGCGGTACGTCCACCAGGAGACCACCAGGATCGACAGGCAGCAGGCGCAGCGGACGGCCCAGCAGGAGCGGCGAGCACAGGCAGAGGGTGCGCCGGTAGACGAGGTCATGGGGGAATTTGTCCCTCGTGAGGTCGAGAGACAGGTCGGCGCTTGGCAGGACGAGCAGAGGGAGGCCTGGCGTCGGTTTTCTGAGCGTCTAGACCGTCTTGAGGGTCGTCGACAGGGGCAGCAGACGCAGCAGCAGCGGGGTAGGACCCGTGCTAGGGAGCCGACGGGAGATGGCCGCCTCGAGTCCATCTCCCCTGTTCGCAGCCGTCCACAGCCAGCCACAGCGGCGGCACAGACTGCAGGTGCCCAGGCGGCAGCCACCGCAGCTGCTACAGCGGCCCAGCAGCGCCCGGGACAGCGACAGACGCAGACCCAGGGGCAGCAGCAGGGTACAGGACAGGGGCAGCAGCAGGGTGCGGCACAGGGGCAGCAGCAGCGGCAGCAGCAGCAGCAGCAGCCGCAGCAGCAGGGTCAGCGACAGCAGCAGGCTCGCCAGCAGCAGCCACCCGTCCAGCCTTCTGGACGCCAGACTGGCCAGACTCCAGCCTCAGCTCAGGGAGGTTGGGGGCAGCGTCCCAGTGGCCCGGGTGACCGGCGCGGGCCCTGGAGTGGACAGGGGTGGCGTGGGGACCAGGGTGGACGTTGGGGGGGAGGAGGGCGTGACGGGGGGAGACAGGAGGGGGGTTGGCAGGGTTTTGGCCCGTGGGGGCAGCAGCCGTTCCAGCAGGGCTACTTCCACCCACAGCAGCAGCCCCTCGTACACCCCGCACAGGGAGGCCCTTTTTTCTGGCCTCAGCCCCCTTTTCCTGGGGGGCACCACCTGCCCTTCTTGGGCCACCTAGCGCAGCAGCAGTTCCTTCAGCAGCCGTTTTACGGGACTCCGGCGTGGCAGCAGCCACAGCACCGCCCGGGCCCAGTGTTTCCACAGGACCATCTGCCGCAGCAGCCCCAGGGGCAGCAGCAGACGGGGCAGCAGCAGCAGCAGCAGACGGGCCAGTAGAGGCAGACACAGGGGACGGGGTTGGTAGCCGAGGGAGGCACAGACCACGTAGGAGGCTAGAGGAGTCGGACAGGGAGCGTCTGCTTCGACGGTTTGCCAGGCGCAGTGTGCAAGAGGTCGCGGACAAGCTAACTAACGTGGCTGTCCACAACCTCTCGCGCAGGCGTCTGACAGAGGATGAGCTTACAGGCCTTGCTCTTGGCCTTAAGTTCATCCCTACGCCCCCTCCTCTTGACCGAGGGCGGCTGAGTCAGGCTGTGGAGCAGTATCAGCGGCGGGTTAGGCTAGCGTGGCAGTTTCGGGACAGCCGCAGACCGGTGCCTAGGTTTCGGGTCCCACGACCTAGTTGGCAGCCGGACCCGGGGCCACCAGAGGTCGAGGAGTATCTTGCTGAGGTAGCTGACAGGGTGGAGGGGCTGGCGGGTCTTATAGGAGGGCCCGCTCGGCCCAACATCAGCAGCCGCGTTAGGGGTGCACTCCTGGGGTTGAGTCGTGACCGGTCTGTTGTCATCAAACCGGCGGACAAAAACCTTGGGATCGTGGTACTGGATAGGGACTGGTACGAGGGGGAGGCGCTGAGGCAGTTGGGGGACAGGGCAGTCTACGAGCCGGTTGCTGCGGTGCCGCTACGTTCCCTTTGGCAGCAGCTGTGTAGGTGGGCAGAGCAGGCGCGTTACGCAGGGGTTCCGCCACAGGTGCTGGACTACATCTTGCAGCCGCGTACTCCGCCGACGGGGGTGTCTGCCGGGGTCTGGGAGCAGTTTCGGGTGTGCAGATTTTACCTACTACCGAAACTGCACAAGACCCCGGTGGCTGGCAGACCCATCTGCTCGTCTACGCTTTGGGTCTTTGAGCACGCGTCGGCGGTTCTTGATCACCACCTCCGCCCCCTCCTACAGTTCTCACCCGCACACCTTCCTGACTCGCTCGCACTTCTTCACCAGCTTCAGGACCTCTCTGTGCCTGCTGACGCTCTCTTCCTCACTTACGACGTAGAGAGCCTCTACCCGTCGATTCCTATCGACGCAGGTATCAGCTGCATAGAGAGGTGGTTGTTTCGGCTGGTAGGGTTGGGTAGGGTGGCGGTGCGGGTAGCAGACGCGTTGGTGCAGCTGTTGGGGTTAGTCATGAGACAGAACCACCTCGAGTTTGGTGGTCGCTTCTGGCGACAGGTTCGGGGTACTGCCATGGGCACGCCTGTGGCGGTGATCTACGCGGTTCTGTTCATGGCTTGGTTAGACGAGAGGCTGTTAGAGACCGAGCCAGAGTTGTCGCAGTTCGTCCTTCTCCACCGCAGGTTTATAGACGACGGGGTGGTTATTTGGACGGGTACACGTGAGCGGCTCCTGGACTGGGTGCGGGCTTTCGGTGGGTTGGAGCAGACTATTCGGTTGACCCACGAGATCTCGACCTCACACTTTACCTTGCTGGACATTACGTTCAGCAAGGGGGAGCTTTGGCAGAGGACGGCTGTTCTGGACACTAGTACTTTCCAGAAGCCGCTTAACGTGTACCAGTACTTTCCTTTCTCCTCCGCGCACCCCTCTCACTGCAAGAGGGGCTTTATTTTGGGAGAGTTGCAGCGGTACATCCTGCGGGAGTCCAGCTTTAGGGGTTACTTGGGCATCAGGGCAGCCTTTTACTCTCGGCTTCGGGCCAGAGGCTACCCTGATGCCTTCTTGCAGCCGATATTCAGCAGCATCTCCTACGCACGACGCCCGGAGCTGCTAGCCAGGTCACGGGCTCGGGTGGAGCGGGAGCAGGAGGAGCAGCGGGTTCTCCCTCTCGTTCTCGACTTTCACCCTAGTGT